TTAATCGTGATTACTTCACAGCTACCTTGGAATTAATGGATTACAAATTTTAATCATTTGATAGCCCTAAAAATACATTATGTAATGAATTAAATCTCACAAAAATACAAATTATCTTTTCCAAATTATATTTTATGTAGCATTTAATATAACAGTATGTAGAACATAATATAGCGGATAAAGAAAAAAATGTGAATTTAGAAAAACACATTTTTAACATTAAATTCTTATGCCTTACTCTCTACCAACATTTTGATTTACTACTTCTAAGATCATTTTTATCACAATCCAACAAATCAGTTAAAAAAAAGAAAAAAGTCTCTCTAAAAATCCAATTCCTTGACTTTAAAATAGAAAAAGAATACAGAAAAAATAAAGTCAATTCTCGCTCATTCCACACCAAAATAAAAAAAATACTGAAAAATTCAAACAACATTTTCTGGGTTTGAAAGTTGGTCAGTTATCCTGAGAAGAATACACTACATACAGGGACAAAAAGAGAAACCATAAAACTATTTCACATTCAAAGTATTACCTTTGGGGCCGGACAAAATGCTAAAAAGAGCCAAATTTGGCCCACAGGCCCTAAGTTGACACGTGCTATAAGGTGTGTGTCAACATAAATGTGCAYTTAAAGTGTTTGAACAGCCAACTATTTAGTGCATTTACTCATTCTGATATGCAAACCAGCCTTTCAGTCGACTATCACCCATCACTCACGAGATCTGCGCCTCTAACAGTGTTCCTGCTGGCAGCGGACAACCACAGAGATTTACTAGGTGTGTGAAGACAGCCCTATTGGGTTTTTGTGTAACTTACGGCTGACAGAGTTTGACCAGATCCTGGTCTGTGGTTCCTGGGGGAAGGCCACGAATGTAAAGGTTGGTTTTGCTGAGCTGCTCTCCTCCTCCACTGCTGCTGCTGCTGCTGCCATTGCTGAGGGTCACGGCATTGCTATTGCAGTTGCTGTTTGGGCTTGGAGAAGCCATCTGATGGTTGGACGGTGACACATATGTCTGCTGTGGAAAGAAAAAAAAACAAACAAAAGGTATGATCAGATTTGAAATGGTGCAGAGAGCAGATGTGTCTTTTGAAACATAAAAATGGACACATAAACGAGACACGAAAGAACAATTCAGCCAAATGGGACCATTTTGTGGAAATGCATTTTTCAATCTGACCTGGTTAGGTGAAAATATAGAGGAAGTGAGATGGACAATAAAAAGAATGGGAAAAGCATTTTTATGACAAAAGAACAGATGAAAGGTCATAAAACCACACAAACAGAACAGCTATCCAATACTGTAGTCTGTTGCAATTAATTTGGTTTTCCCAGGTTTGGCAGGAGATGAAGAACTTGTTGCCCTTAAAGCCAATGTCCATCATTCTGCACCAATCTAAAAGAAGTCAAGGGTTGTTCATACTGAGTAAGATCCTGTCTTWAAATGACAGGGTGGCACTGTAAAGAAAACATACATTCTCTAAAGCAGAGTTTCTCAAACTGGGGTCCGCGAGAAGTATCTTGGGGGTCCTCAAAATTTTTTACTAAACTGTTAATTTGATTTTTGTTTTTAAATATGCATGGAGAGCAATGAACTAATAAAACAAACATAAACTTAATAAAAATATATATTCACATGGCATTTAGGGGTTGAAATGACAATAAACTATCTTTTAAAACAGCACGGGGTTTATGAGGGGGTCCCTGGAATTTGTTTTGCCCTTGTAAGGGGTCCCCAGACCCAAATGGCCTGAGAACCCCTGCTCTAAAGGAATAAAAATCTTCAAATGTTGAAAGATTTTTCACTTATTTTCTGTCCAGTTCTCATATCCGATCATAATAAAATATCAGAACTAAAAACTATCTATAGCRTGAGTCAAAATTCACAGGACACCCTTTTAATTTGATCCATGTTCCAGACCTGCCCCCATCATAGGTCTGGGGTATGTGATTGTGTCATTTTCTCTTTTCTTTCTGAAATAAAAGTGTGTCCTGAGACTTTTAACTCACCCTGTATAGCAGATAAACAACATCTGAAACAGAAAAATATCTAACAAAGACCTGAAACGGGTCCTGAAAGAATCACCATATTTCAGCTGATTATCTACAAACTGATGGGCGGCAGGCTAAATGTGGCCCACCACACCATTTTATGTAGCTTGCAAGAGCATCATCAAAGATGTATCAATGTCTAAAACAACAGTATGCTGCTTTAAAGCTAGCGTGACCATTAACTACATCTCCCATGATTAATGTTGAGGCGCTATATAAGTACAGTCCATTTACCATTTACCATTACTTTACCTGCAAAATGAAGACATGCCACCACTAGGCGGAGGTACACAGGGTTCAAAAGTAGCAAGCAGCAGGCAAATGTTGCTGTGTAAATTCTCCATTTAGCTGTGTTTTTGCCGACTTCTTTTACTCTGGCCCAGTATTTTACATTCAGTCAGCTATACATGTAGAACTTTTCAGTATTTAAAAGAGGACGTGTGTTTCTGTGCATGAAACACCATGAGCTCAGTTATTGTTTGTTAGCGTGCTCAGTCATAGCAATGAAACAAGGAATGTGATGCTTTGTGCTTTGTCCAAGTGAAACACAAAACGTCAAAGTTAATTACAGCTGCTCCTTTGAGGGAAACCATAATGCTCATGTGGCCCTCTATGAAAATTAGTTTGACACCCCTGATCTAAGGATTCAGCTACTACTGTAGCTCTTTGTGAATCACCTTGCTAATGCTAATATATGAGTTTCTTTGTCATGCTGTTAACCTTTTTGTGTTTTTTTTATAAATTCAACTACAAAATTAGAACCATACAAATTGGTTCTTTGATAAGTTGCCAACAGTGTGTGGACAACCCTGGTTCATCCATTGAGTTTAGGAGCTTTTGCCTGACATTTTTTTTCCTTGTGTTTTCAAAAGTAATATGAATCAGTCTTATTTTTCTAGTCAAAAACTCACAGCCATTCAAACCCTTTTACCTTAGGTTGCTTCTCTAACATCCATCTGTTTTTTTTTTTTTTTTAGCCAGAACTGTGCTTGACAGTTTTCAGTCACAGCCTCCCTTTTGCCTTCACTCTAGGCTGCCTGCACAGACTATCAGGAAGGATGCACCTGGAGAGTCTCAGAGAGATGGGATCTGACGGGGGGAGACCTAGTCCGTAGCCGAGCCTGGCTGCTGAGGCCTGTCTAATTGGGACCTGAGCTTGTTAGAGGGAAGTACTAATCCCTCTCATGTGCACCCCAGTCAGAAGGTAGTGTCTCATTAAAAACACTCTGCTAAGCTTCATCTGAGAAAAGGACTGGGGAGGGAGTCTACTGGGCATCTACCCATCAGCCAAACTTTTTACACCGACTCAAGGTGTCTTGGCAGCCATGTTTGGTAATGTTCAGCGTAATGGTGCGATCACAAGCTAATGTTCACACAGAAGAACACAAGTGCACTTCAGGAAGGAGATTACAACTAAATTCTGAAGCGCTCATTGCTGAGAATTGCATTTCATTTGACAGCCCGCGACACTGCATGTTCTCTCAGTTAATTAGAGCCAAAAAGACAAACAACTAATATGACACGACTCCCCTGTTACTCTTTAGTGAATCTGTTTACTCTTCTTTGTACAATCATAGTATCATCCCTTGGAATTCAGTACATCCCTCTGTCCAAAGATGAGTTTCTCTGCTTGAGATGGAATCACTCATACACAAGTGACCCCAACAACTTTTCTGTTCTATRTCTTTTATTATATAACAGCGAATTACCCTGAACCCTAAACGTCAGGGTATGAGCAATTGCTGCTTCATCGTTTTTCCTCTTTACGTATAAAAAAGTTGGAAATGTATATTATACAATCCTCACATCGCTGCTACTGACAGCTTTGGCAATTACCGCAGCAAAGAAGATCAATCTTTGTGCTATTTCTATTGTTGTGCTTGAAGTATAAGCACACAAGTGGCCAACAGCGTGGTGAGGAGAACGAGAAGGTGCTCTGGGCCTGAAGACTGATGAGATGATTACAGTTGGAGGGAGCAGAGGTGACACTTGTTGGGACAGCAGGTGACTCAAGGACCTTTTTTTATTTTAGTTGAAGAGAACAATAAGAGCTGGGGGGAACAGGATGTTGACTTTCTAATAATAGCAAYGCTTTGAGAGTTACTTTCTGCTTTCTGTTACTTTCCGCTGCCTCTTTCTAACAACCTTGTCCGATAAAAACAGGTGCATTTAATCAATCCTGTGGTGTTAAAAACATTAGATCATCTTATTTAGTTCCCATAATGCTTCAACATGTTGTTACCTTTAAGTCTGCAAAACATAACTCATTTTAAGTGTCTAAATATATCAGGGGGGGATTTTAAATTCAGTACAGTTACATTCAGTGGATAGGTATTCAGGAAGAGCCAAAAATGAATGAAAAGAAAATCTGCTAAGCAACTCAACAAACTGGACTTTTTATTTTTTCAAGATGTCATCTTACGCTGCGTCACAAATATTAAATATGATGCCCTACCTGCTTGATAAAAGGTGCCGTGGGAAAGATCATAGTAAAGCAATTTGTTAATTCCTACAACTGCTGGGGAAAAAATAGCACGGAAAACAGTAAAAGGTGGGAAGAGCCAAATCAAGAAAAGTGATGAAAACCCTCGATGTTCTTCAGCTCAATGAAGAGACATCCCTGTTCCTCTTCTCCTGATTCAGCCCACTTTCATTTTACTGCTTAAAAACGCAACACACACACACACACACACACACACACACACACACACACA